AAAGTCCATTAGTATAAGACCTGAATGGTTCCGTCTTCATCCATATGGCTGTGGAAATCTGATACCATTAAGCCACAAAACAACCACAGGAAAGGGAGACCACAGCAAAACCATATATCAAAGCCACTTCTCCTCCACATTACCTAAATAGGAATTGGCTCCTTTTGACTAGAGCAGCAACTGTGTGTGAGTAGGTACCATGTGGTCCATAAATAAGTGTTTAGACACATTTTAGTGCTGTTAAGTGTGTTTTCATAAAGTTAAGCACAGAGCACTGCTAAACGTCACATTAATGTTAAAGTCGTTGTTCAAACTTTACAAACAAAGACTAAAACTAAAAACGTGCCAGCGTCAAAATAGTTCCAATTTATGACAAAACAAGACCACACAAATGAATGAAGGCCTGCTAGATAGCCTTCCTTTTGGTCTCTAGCTCATACGAACAAAAATAAGATGACAGTTGATATGTCCTGGTCACGCACACTTGATCTTTACTTGAACCTTAAAGCCTTCCTCTGATCATTACTAATCTTAGATAGTGGCTTCACTTGGATTTGATTAGAAACAGCATTGATTGTAGTTGTAAAATAACCACAACTCTAAATCTCATCACTGATAGTCTACTACTTGTAAATCAAAGATAGAGAGGGAGATTAAAGGGAAATTCTTAAAGAACCCAGATGATTCGAAGGGCAAACAATCAAGACGGTCTCATGACGTTTTATGTCATTCAACCTCAAACTATTTGGCATGGCACACTTCAAAACAGGCAAGTCATTTTTTCCTAAGAACCATATTAAGATACAGTCTGTCTTTTGTCTTTGACAGGCACATAGCAAGCACAGCACTGATCTATGGGGGGTTTAACCTGTAGGTGATCTCTGGTCTGAGCCCGCAAACACCGGTGGCGAAACAACTGTGTGACCAGAAGGTCAACAGAGCAATGCTGCGACACACAGATGAACAAAAACACCATAGACGAACAAGAGATTCATTGTTTGCTGACAAAAAAACCCGAAACTTAAAACAACTAAAATACACAGTATGGGTTAAATGTCTGCAAAACAAATAAATACTGCCCTTAACTTGTGTTTTAAAAAACTACACCCGTTTACTCGCATTCTGTTGACATTATGAAAAGATTTCAGAGCTATTGAGACTTTAACTTCACGACAAAACAATGACTAAGAATGCATAGAATTTCATATTTTGAGTTAACAACAAAGATGGGTATTATTGCATAAACCTGCAGGATCCAGACGGTCCTGTCACAAAGATGGTCCCAGTTAATGTCCTTAACCTTTCCCCATCATCTCGTCATCCTTAACCCCTGAAGCCAATGGCTCAAATCACTGAGTCTAAGAACGATAATTCTGCCAGCCATTTGAGGCGGCCTAGAGGGGCTTTTGAAGGCTTTGAAAGATAAAGTCTATACAAAAGGCTGATTGTTTAAATAAGCTGATGAGTGATTAACACGGTGTCTAGGACCAAGGCAAACCAGATCTAATAGAACAATTAACCAACAAATGGCACTCTTCACTTGACTTCTGGGGCTAAATGTAAAATATATAGATACAGCAGATGTATTAACAGTCAGAAAAACGCTAGCAATATCATATGACATGAAAATGTGTTAATCAGGTTCAAAGCCTTTAAAATTCACAATTTCCTAATGAGTAATGTCAAACTGTTATGTGTCATCAGACAGCCACAGTCCCTGAGAATCTGGGTCAAAAAGTGAAATCTGTGTGTGGGAAATCTTTGTGTCAGTAAGTGCGGCTGCTTTGCTGTGATAACATTCCTAAACGCACTGCACTGTCGCAACAGCAAGCTGGGTCACGCTCGATTCCTGCTTATCATTAACACAGTTGAGACACTGTTGCAGCAGCGTAATGAATCATTGTCTCTCTGGACTGTTTACATTTGCTAAGCTTACAGTTTTCATAACTGGATTAACCGTTACACATAGTGAAGAACTGACACTGTGCATTCAAGCAATACTGTCTGACAGCAGATTTTTTTTTTAACGAGGCGTGGTTTGCAATCCGCCCAGCCAATCAGACATAGGAACCTTTTTCTCCCATGAAAGTACCTGCTCTCTAGCAGGGACGGAAAAGGGGGTAAAAAAGGTTCTGATTAACTCATTTTAGTTCCGGCTCTTTTTGGTGTGAACGCGACATTTCGGAACTATATTGGAACTAAAGTGGGAAAAGTACTGCGGTGTGAACGCGGCATGGTCATTTGACATTTGGTTGCAATGCCATATTTGTTTTGATCTGTGTTGAAATACTTGTGTTTGGTAGAACACCAGCAGAAACCACCACATATTGTTAATCTTTCACCTTACATTTCAAAAGACCCAACATCGATAATACAATGCTACAATAATTCACTCGTCTTGGAGATGACATTAATTTGCACAATGTAAAGACCCTTACCGGGCTTTGTTTTAGCCGGTTTATCAGAATTTCAGGTCATGCTTAGACCTAGCATATTACATCTAGATATAGTCCTATGATGGATCGTGCATTTGGATTAAACCAACTATTGGCATCTAGCCTTGGATAGGGGCTTAATACTCTTGTCAACATTGTTTGACACAAGCAAATCAACCATGTACTGGCTATATCTGCACACTGGAAATGTGGTACAGTGATGCTCTAGAGCAGTGCTTCTCAAACTTTTTTCAGTAATGTACCCCCTTTGAAACATTTTCTCAGCCAAGTACCCCCTGACCGACCCCGAACATCTTTGATAGAAAAAGCCTATATATATATATATATATATATAATTACAATATAGTAATGTTCCATCAGTGTGTGATGTATTAACTCCTTCATGCATGAATTACAACAAACTAAGGATATTTTCATCTTTATACATGAGCATTTTTTTTAAAACTGATTTTTAAGTAATATATGTTTAACATGAACTAAATTGAACACAATTATATATTATGCAAAAACTATAAAATACAATACACAAATATTATAATAAAATCCACCGTGGTGCCTGATGTGCAACTATACCATCCGAAACCCCATGCATATACAAGAAAACAGCATTAAATTAGCAGTCTCTAATGTAGTGACCACAATGCATGAAAGGGTTTAAAAAAAAAAGTGCAATTATAAACAAACCATGTAATAACACTGCAATTACACTATTTAGGAGTTTTAGGTCCGATGCCTCCAGTGCTTTGGCTGATGTTGTGGAGGCTTTTCGCATCATCTCATGCGAGGATCTGTACTCAGCAAGTTCTCTCTTGAAACATTCCGGTGGCTTACCAACATGACACAGGTGTTTGGTGCTGAGATGTCTCTGGAGGTGCGCTGATTTCATCGAGCTGTTGGCTAGTTTCTCCCCACAGAAAAAACACAATGCCTGGGGCGGGTTGCCGTTTGTTGACGTGAATCCCATCAAAGCATACACCTCCTGATATTGACGGCATTTTGTTGGCTCAATTTTGACTCTTTTTTTCTCCGCTGTCCACGTTCCCTGCTGTAGTGCTGCTACGTTTAAACCACGATTCCATTTCAATGTCTATTCGTTATAATATAATATTGCAACTGGCTTTCCGCTCAGCGTGGTTCCGGGCTCGAGCCTAATTTAGCTCTGGTTCTTCCCGTTTCCACCGCAGTGCAGCCGGCTCTCAGTACCGAAACCCGGTTCTTAGCTGGCCCCACTCGGCTGCCCGGCAAGAACCAATACGCTTACGTCGGAGGGGGGCGAGATTAACCTGAGCAATAATAGTTATGGCGAGTACAGCATTACAAGTTGTAACAAGCAGTTACAAGCAAAGTGACTAGAACACGACCACACACACACACACTTGTAAAAACAGAGAAGAACCAGTTAAGCACCAGAACGGATTTTTAATATAACATTTCATTTTCTAAATGTAATTGATTGTACTATGATTATTTTTGTAATAATGCATGGTATTTTTTTAATTAACCTTTTTTTTTTAATCTCATGTACCCCCTGCAGTACCCCAACGTACCCCCATGGGTCCGCGTACCCCCATTTGAGAATCACTGCTCTAGAGTACAAGAGGACTACAGCACAATATTTTCCTCACTGCAGCATAACTCCCACCTGCACTTACAGCTCTCCATAAGTCACTAAATATGCATTCAAGTGCAGCATGGGAGGACTGTGGGGCTCACTTTCTGAGTTATCAAAGAGCCCATTTTGGATCTTCCCTCCATGTTTAGTCCCCCACACACCCACACCCACCTCTTACATTTCCTCTTTGGGTCTCAATCATTTCCTTTTGGTAAAGATAAATTGTGGTGAGAGCATGTTTCATAAGCCGATACCATGCAATGCAGTAAACACAGACAGAACATGAGATAAGACTTCACTACATGCGAGTTCTATCACCTTCACATCTCTCTGCTATAGGCTTCTACATCTGTCTTGTAGGCATTAAGGTTATGCTGTGTGATTGTTTTTCGTAGTTTTGGTCTATTTCTGGGACACCTCGGACTGACTAAGAATATATCAGGTTGTAAATTGAAGGGAGAATTTGCTGCACAAGATGCTTTTTGAATAAGAGAAAAGTGTTGTCATGTGTGGCACATTCCTGCTGTCTCTGTACATTTAATAGGCCCTCTCAGGCATCTGGATGGGTGTCATAATACCACATCACACACAGACACACACATCGGCAAATATATCTCTGTTTATACTGCAGAGTACTGTATTTATGTGGCACATGCATTCAGTTCTGTATGCAAGTCAAAGCTTTTTCCACTAACCTGAGGGGTAAAGCCACCACAGCTCAGGCATAGGGATACATACGCATCAAGGGTTTAACTTCACTTAAAGCTATACTTCAGCTAAAGCCACGCTTTCACATGTTTATGCAAGTTATTCATCATGATTTTAACCAGCAATTGTGCAAAGAACAGCTTTCAACTTTCACTTTTGATCAAGCACAAAGAAGAACATGTGATATCTGACTTTGCAGATTGTTCAGCAGAAGGAAAACTTACCTGATAGTAGTCTTTAATCTGCCTGATGAGAATAGAAAGGTTCTGGATGCGCAGTGTCGGGTCATTGTTCACCTTCTTGTTGGTCCTCTGCACCGTGGCCGTGGGATTTCTATGGGAAAATAGCATTTGCTTGTTAGATCTGTTTATAGTAAAGCATGTCAGCTGTGGATGTAGACGGACATATTTTAAAAGTAATGTCGGTCACAGGCTTGTGTGAAGCCACTTTGTTTCAGTTTGACACCATGTTGCTTTATGTGATAGAACAATCGTGTGTTTGGCTAAAATCATTAGCAGCACAGCAACAATGGACCCTTGTCTAAGTAAGGTCAGTGCCATAACCGTGTTAAAGGAAGCAGACACACTCAATGCAGAGAAAAATAGAAACGCCGCCCCTGAACTCTAGTGGCACCAATGTTTCTCAAGCGTTTAAATCTAATTATTCGGTGAGTTGAATCCAATTGAAACATCTTTAAACACATTAACATTTTAATGCTACAAATGGAGACGAAATTCTTCAAGAAATCCTCTGTAGACTACTTCAAACTACCGAGTAGGCTTTCATTAGCATGGTTAAGGGAGCATGCATTTCAGTTATTCTCTGACCTTTAACAATGTTCCCCATTTCATATTTCTAAATGAAAGAGAAGTAGTATCTTATTTGAATATAGAGCCTGTGATTTTATCTGACTGTTTGTTGCCCAGGGGACATTAAAAGGAGCATGCGCGACAGCTGATGATATCACGGGTGTCAACATGTTTTAGGGAGCCTTGTAGACATTCCACAAATTCACACAGTACCATCTCCCCAGTCGCTGCCATCTACAACAATCCAAACTACCATTTGCATATCTATGGAAATGACTCAAACCCAAATCTCATTCCATCTCAAACCTCTTTTAAAACACAGGAACACACAAGATATTGGTTTAGGTAACTGATCCAAGAGATACATTTTCAGGCAATTTGTGTGTCTGTCATTCTGTCTCTTTGGATGTTTGATATTTCAACTGTCTGCCAGGAACATGGTCAGTACTAACCAGCAGCAAGCATGCATTTCTCAGCTTATAACTTCCCATGCTTTAACAGGGAAGTTTTATGTCAGGGCATCTTATCTGCTGCTTTTGAAAGTCTCAGTAATATCGATGACAAACTTGTTCAAGTGGCAGATTTGTTATACTTTGTAAGTTAACCTGTTAAGCCCTGAGCCTGTTTTTAGGTCTCAGGCTCGAAAATTCCCAAAACAAATGACTATATCTTCACTTCTAAAAAGGGTTAAATTAATAATCTTTTTTCTCAAAGCAATGATAAACCTGTGAGTTGGATGTAGAACAGTCAGAATCAATATAGATGTTTTATTTTAAAGTAAATTCAGATTGAACATAGTAAAACAATCTAGTTTGTGCAGATCCGATGAAGTATACAATATTTCTACTGTGAGTTATGTGCTACAGTAAGTGCGTTAGCACTCTTTCGCTTAGTGCTAATTCAGAGGCTCGGCGTTAGACTTGTTTCTGTAAAAATAGTTCATATCGTCAGGTAGCTGAGTTTCTTCCCGTTAAGTGGATATGACCCATTCATAGTTTGTTAAATGTTAAGAAGCCCTCAGACGCTGTTTAAGATGTTGCCGGCGGGGGCACCATGGCTTAACAGGTTAAAAAGACTTATCCCAAGTGAGACCTGGGGCATTAATGTGATATCTTCTGATCCCCCTGAGGGGCATTCCTACTTCCCTGAAGAGAGGTGGTGACAAAGCAGCAACCCTAGAGCTGATCATGTTTCACCAAGTAATAAGGAGACACTTTTAATAGTGGACACTTGTTGTCATACTCTGCATGCTTCAAATATCTGTGGCTCTGGGATCCTATCAAATTTGTAGTTCAGCATAATTGACAATTATACATTGTCAGATATCAAGTTAAATAACGTGTTTCTATTTGAATAAATATATATTTTTGTAGCTGCATTTGACTGTTTAGACATTATATATTTTAGATTGTTAGGCACATGGATGTGGAACACATTTGCACAGTCAATGTCAACATTTGTTTACCTTAACAAGCTCATGAGGGATAAGTAGCAAAATCCCATCCACCCTCCCTAAAAACCCTGTAATAACTAATTCATGTTACATTTCCTGTGTGACAATCTGGAATAACAACATAACTCATGTTCTTGACATTTGTCGAGCTTCACACCAACATTATAAATTAGCAGCTTTTTTTTTCCTGATATGCTCTTCAGACTTCAAAGCATGTACATCCTATGACCTATATATGAGGGTCAACATGCTCCGAGTAGAGGGGAGGAGACTCGTGAATGTATGCATGCATGCAGTGTGTAGCACATGTGTAGTCATGTATACAGTATGTGTGCATGTCTGCATCTGCGCTCTTGCACTCCAGAATAGCTCGTCTGCTTGGGCTAGCAGCTCCATAAAGCTTAATCGTGAAATACCATGAAGAGAGTATATAAAATCAGGATTTTCTTTTATTATGCGTCTTGTTCTGTTCTGAGTGAGGAGGTCAAAGGTGAAGGATTCTTTATTTTCCTCAAAGACATTCGGCTGGGTGGATGCTTGCAGTCACAGGGGACTTCTGGTTGAATGACTCTTCCTAATCACTTCAACATGCTACTGCCCCGTTTCTAGAAATAAGCAAGCATCTGCTGAATCAGTGTGTTATCTTTTCATGTTCTCACTTAACCAAACATGTATGTATTTGGTGCTTACGTATCTTAACTCCTAAATAAAACTCTGATATAATAATAATGATATCATGCACCCAAAAAGGGGCATGTCTCTTAAATCAAACGGCTGCAGTGTGGATGTGTTAATTAGTCTTTTGATCAGCCTCTACCCTGATAAACACACACACACACACACACACACACACACACACACACACACACACACACAAATCGTGCTAATCAGGAGGACACAGGGTTCTTTTTAATACTGGTCTAAATGAACAGTCATGTGACCCGCCATCTCCCCCCTCGACACACACTCAGCCCCTTTCGTGGTCCATAGTATGGGGTCTATTTAACCCGTTAATTAAAAAGCACAGAGGAGGCTGTAATCCTGTCAGGGCGAGGAGGGTGGTATCGCAAATGCGGTGTGTGTGTGTGTGTGTGTGTGTGTGTGTGTGTGTGTGTGTGTGTGTGTGTGTGTGTGTGTGTGTGTGTGTGTGAGAAAGAGACTAAAAGACAGAAAATCTAAAAGGAAAGGGATGCTCATTCACACATTCCTTCACCATAAGACTGAGCCAAGAACATGTCCGCCACAATAACATGAGCGTGTCGGTTCCACTACACACACCACCGCTCATTTCTCCGGCTCTGATGCCACACATGCAAGCACGCGACAGTCCGACCCCTCCTGTGGATCAGCAGGCGAATAAATACAGGGATTTAGAGCGCTATCAGGGGTCAAAATCCCCCTTATTGCCTCCCTCCCTGTTCCTGCTGATACAGTAAACTTAAGACTTTAAATAGACAAATGGATTAGCCATAGACTGAACAGCCAGCAAGCCAGACAGAAAGTGAGCAAGTGAGCCAGACGGCCAGTCAATAAGCAGTCCATCGCTGCTGTTGATCGCCATGGAGAGCCTAGGGCCACCGGGCTTTCTCCTCTCATCTCCTGGCTTTGATTGGCTGGGTAGGTTAGAGAGTGTTGTTAACCTATATATGACAGGCTACATTACAGTCAGCATGGGCAGCCAGGCACACACACACTCACGCACACACACAGAACAAAAATGCAGACAACATTTGGCCACGTGTTGGGGAAAGAGCTTATGAGCTGTACTGTCCAAACACAGCGGGGGAGTGTGTGTTTTTGACTGTGTGTGAGGTAAGGTGACACACACACACAAACAGGAAGCTAAATACCTACAGTAAGAGGAATCTGGGGGGGGATGAGCTTATTAGCAGCAGTGATAAAGGTCAGCAGTTCAGTTTAGGATAATTATCGGTCTGTTCGGTTACATCCACACACAACAATAAAAAACTGTCTAAGCAAAGATACATTTAACAAAGATTGTTTTGTTTGTCAAGTTTCCACATTAGCTGACAAGCCAAAAGAAAGAATTACTGGGACGTGATTTATCATATTGAAAGAATTCACAGGATTGTGGGTTCAAATGGTCAGAATACCTCAACTATGCATACATGCACATGCATAGTTGCTCGTGCACAACATCCACGTGGCAGGAGTAATTCAAGAGAGTAATGGCTCAGTAAATCAAATTAAGAGTAACTCAAGAGTACAACCTTATTCTAAGCAAGATCATTTTGTTTGAATGTTTACACACCAGTTTCAATAATTGTAATTCAGCTTTAACCTCGTTACAAACAAACCTTGTTATACTAGCGTCCTTGCTAACACAGGCCTTTCCAAATGCAAGCTACAGTAGGCACAAACAGGCCGGCTAACCAGGAATTTTGTTAACTGATTGAATCTCAAATTAGTGGGGGGAAAAAGGACCTTCATAAAGCATATGTTACAATGGCACCATTGATTTACTTCAGAATTAGGACAATAATGCATAATATATAAGGATACCACATCAAAAATATATCTTTTGTAATACACAGGGTACACAGGGTTCTCCTAGTTTACAAAACATCACTCATTAGTCGTTAGCAATGCAGATATTTTCTTTGTATTTTGCTAATGTACAATATTTCTACATCCTGTTCTCTGCATCCTCCACCCTTTTCCCATGAGAGCCATAGCATACAAACAGCCCAGGCAGTGAGGATCTGAACATTGGTATGTGGTTCCCTTCACCCTATTTCCTTGTCTTGGCTTGGCTTTTCTTGACATGTTTCTCTCCTGTCTTTGTTTTCTGTTTCCACAGGGCCTCTTCCCATTCCTCTCATCTAGCATTGTATCCATAGGGACTGCTGCTAAACCCATTCCTGTCAAACTGGATGTGATCTGATGCATTACTTTGCACAAGCTCTGAGTCCATAAATCATTGATGCGATTCAATGTCTCAAATAACAGGCAAATTTGCGTGTTTTATAATGGCTTGGAGTAGGGCTGTGCAATTAATCGTATTTTAATCGCGATTACGATTATGGTTTGCGACGATTAGGAAAACAGCA